ACAAAACGACCACACCAACGTTCTCTTTTCGTTGTGCCCACGATGACAATGCTACGACCATTCGTTTTTTTTTTTATCTGTGTACGCACATACGTAGATGTACGTCTGTGTTAGAAATCGTGTAATGTTCGCAAAACACGAGCATTATTTTCCACTATGAGTGCCAAACGATTCCTCTTTCTACTTTCTCTCCAATCCATCCGTGAAGTACGTTATAAATTGCAATAATGAGTGTGCATCATTATTCGAAATACGTCTCGAGAATGATACTCTTAAGATTATAAATATATAATCGCTTTATTCTCTCCTTAGATAATAATCGATGATGGACAGCAGTAGAAAAAGCATGGATATATCATAACATTGAAAAATTTCGATTCAGTTATTTTCACTGTTTACTTTATTTCACAAGTTATTTTATTATTATTATTATTATTATTATCATCAAGGAGCACATTGCTTTTATTTACAAAGAAAAGTTCTCCGGTAGAGTTCCCATTCGGATTTCGTCGATTCATAGCACGGTCGTTAGATAGATAGCAGAGAATCGAGTCCATACATTTTAATGTGATCGGCCAATTGCAATTTCAACTTTTTTCTTTTCCTTCTTCGTCTTTTTGTTTATATTCTCTTATCTCTTTATCACTTTTCGTTATCTCTACTTTTTCTTTTCCTCCTTCTCTCTCTCTTTCTCTCCCTCTCTCTCTGTCTCTCTCTCTATCTATCTATCTATCTATCTATCCCTCGTTAGCTCTTGTTTACAATCGAGAGTAGACCTTGGTACGATCGTATAAGCTTGCACTACCGTTGACTCTCGGGTATTACGTCGTAAACGTAATGAAGATGAGCCAACCTCTGGAACATGGAGCCTCATGTGAAAGGATACGTATAGTGGATATCGATAGAAGGCTAGTTCCACTTATCGAGTCTAGCGCGATGGCAAACCCAAACGATATCGTCGTACATCCATCGGAAGTAGCTTGGGTGATCGCGTTAATTAGTGATACGAAAGGAGGGTCCACTCACGAAATTTCGCTTAGGTCAAAATAATCGATAATATATGAATATGCTTTATAATATAAACCATCTATGTATGTATGACATATTTACAATAAGATAAAAATATGGGTAGAATCCTTTGATGTTCATTTAATAATTTCCATTCGACGTTCATGTTGAATCGATCAACTTTGCATACGTGATTATTGCGATTTGAATATATAAAATATATAAAATAGAATTATTAAAAGTAATAATCGTGCAGAATTGATAATGTTAGAAATCCTATTATATTCAATTATTAATACAAAATCTGTTACATCCTGTTTCTACGTACACATATATCGAGAAAGTTTTTATCTTCAAATTACAAGTAAATCATTAAAGTTCGAGAGAACAAAGGATAGAAATGAGGCACTCAATATACACGAATATGCGTTGGACGCAAGCGTGTAATGGTAAGATTAGAGTAAAATGTGATAGTCCATGAAAATGATAGAAACTATATCGTGAGAGAAAGCGAGAGAGAGAGAGAGAGAGAGAGAGAGAGAGAGAGAGAGAGAGAGAGAGAGAGAGCTTAAAGTTTAGTTTCGACCTCGTAACGTTCATAAAATACAGAAAGATTAAGAAAGACAAGATTGTACTATTTGTTTCTGAAAGTGTCTACGTTTGCCAAAATGCTGACTAAGAGAAAGAGACTCGTTATGTTCACGATTTGTGGTCAAGGATTTTAGAAGAAGGTACTTATTCTTATCCTGAGTTCTCGTCCTTCTCCTCCGTTTACCCCGTCTCGTCCAGCACGCTCACGACTTAATACTTACCGCATTGGAGTACACTAAATCACTGTCTCGAAAAGCACAATTTACAGTGGCTCGCGCTCGTCGATTTGACATCGACATTTCTCTTTTTCTCTCTCTCTTTCTCTTTTTCTCTCTCTCTTTCTCTTTTTCTCTTTCCGTTTCATTCCTTTTTAATAATACGCGACACGAAAGCGAAATACGACGGTGACATGGAAAATACGATCACCTTTCGCTCGAGTCACCTTTGGAAAATAATATTTATCAGAATGAACGTGCAGATGTCTTTTGTTAAATAGAAAAAAGAAAAAATAGAAAAAAAAAATATGTATTGTCAAACATGCACATTGCCACGTTCAAAATAATATTTTCTGTATTTCCCGTCGCTTATCTTTCATTCTTTCTTTCTTTCTTTCTTTTTTTTTTTTCTTCCGAAGACATCTTCTTTATGAAAGATCGAGCTTCCTTTTCAAAAAGAAGATCGACTTTCTCCTTTCCTTACTCTTTTAAGGGAACAACGCCTTGAAATATAGCTCCCTTAATGGGTTGAATAGGAAGAAAGGAAAGATCGCAATCAAGTTCGGCCTCGTCGATTTTCTACGAGCGTTTCTTAAACTTGGCGACCATCGAGATTTCTAAGGATCCATTCGTCTTTGGATTTCTAAGTAATTAAGATGCTTTTCCGGAGAAAATAGAAGACGGCCCTTGCTGTAGGTTTCGGCAAAAGGGTGACGCTGCGAGTAATCACGGCACTCTTTCCTTCCTTTCCTTTTAGTTTCTATCTTTATTCCTTTTATCATTCTACTCTGTCCTCAATACGTTTTCTTATCGGCAAAGATCTCATACATATTAATGGAGATCCAATCGATTTTAGTTCGATTTTTTAAGATGTTTCAACGCGTAAGCTCTTTTACCGGCCGCAATGGTTATTATGGCATTAACGTAATGAAGTTAGCTATGGAGAACATCCGTCGAGAAGAATGAGACGGACGGATGGTAGAAGTGGAGTTAGAGAGAAAGAGAGAGGGGAGAGGGAGGAGGGTAGGGAGAAAGGAAAGAGAAGCGGAAACGAACGAAGAAGTCGAAACAGGAATTGTTATTCATATTCGATGAATAATTGTTTTGTCTAAGCTCTCGTAAATATTATAAAGACAATGTTGTAATGAATTCATTGTTAAATATCTTTAAATATTTAAATTTTACGATTAACAGCTAATTCGATATATTATCTCCGACAGAACATACTATTTTCTCTCTATGGCAAACGTATTGACAATTATCGTAAGCAAAACGTATTACGGATTATATTATATTAAATTTAGATTTTTAGCGAATATACGATGCTTGAGGATACGCACGTTGATAACTTTTAATTAATTTGACGAGCATTATTTACTTTTTCTCTCTCTCTATCTCTCTCTCTCTCTCTCCCTCTCTCTTTCTCTCTTTCTCTCTTTCTCCTACTCGACGGTTATCATCGAGGATCGATGGATCGACGATTTGTCGATTAAACGGACGATAAAATATCTGTATAATTCGGAGCTTCCGAGTATCTGCTTTGGAAAAGTAAACCAGTTTATTTGTTCGACCGACCGACATGTAATTTTTTTTTTTGTTTGCTTCAGACATATTCCCATCGTAATAACGACCGATTGATGCTTTAATTAATGAAATCCACGAGACAGCGTCCATTTCGCGTAACGCAGGTCAGTATGGAGAACAAACAGTTTATCGTGAGAACGTGGCATATTCGATAACAATTATTCGGTCGATACGATCATCAAACTGTAGAACTCGACTGACACATTTGATGAATTTCTTGAGTCAATAAGTCAATATTACATAAGCATTATACAGCCGTCTTCATAAAGTCAATATTTGTTTGATCGATCGATCGATCGATAAAAGAGCAACTTTTATTAATATTAATCAATGAATTTTTATTTATATACAATAATAAATTATTATTATATTTATATATAATAATAATGTAGTAACAATAGTAATGTAGAATATCTCTATGATAATCGTAAATAGAGAAGGTAAAAGGTATTTCTTCATTTCGATACTTCATAAATCTTTGCTCAAGAAAAAACGGCAAAGACGATGAATGTAGACGAAGTAAGAGTGCAGTTGCATTTGGATCGAACGAAAGGTTTCCTCTATTCCTATTAAAATCGAATACGAAGGTTTACATCTTTCCAAAGGACCAGAAGGGGCCCTTTGAGTAGAAAGTATAGAACCGTGAAGGGTTTCGTCAAAGGACTTTTTGTCATCATTTTTACGTCCATCGAGTCAAAGTATCCGGAAACGACGAGGGTAAAACGTTGCGAGATACTAGAGACGAAGGAAAAGGAGGAACGAGTACCAATTAGCGAATCGTACGATCTTATTTAATGGATTTGCCATAATCCGTTACGAAGGTTAAGAGACGAAAAAATTGAGAAAGAGACAGAAAAATAGAGGAACAGAAGGATGAGGGACTCGAGGGAGAAGAAGAAAGCAGGGTTGGACTCGAAGTACGTCACCTAATCTGACGGCACACTTTAATCCCTACTCACGAATATTCCATCACTAGGATTTGGGGTGGATCGTTTAAAAGCCGACGGTCTGCCATTTTAATGTAGATCCGGCCAGGCCGTTCGATGAAATTACAGTCGAGCTTGGTACGCTGCTCGCGATCAATGTCCATGTTTCCGATATCGAACGAGAAAATATTTTCAAAGCGTAATTCTCGAAAACCGAAGTAGAAGTTGGAATAGAGAGCGGTGAATACGCGTCGGTGAAAGAGCACGAGATAGATGGATGGATAGACGGATAGATATAGAAAGGAGGATAGAGTAGAAGTAATAGAGGAGGCTTTGAACTGGGCGTAGCGCGGCAGTTTGTCGCGTTTCCATGGGATTTTGCTGCCGCAATCGCATTAAATCCTACGAATCTTCGTCGAGGTATGTACAATGTAACGCGTATAACGTCATTTCGCGACATGAATTGCATGTCAAAGAAGCTTTGTAGTTGTTGGATACGATATGATTTAAGTTTTCCATTGGAGGACTCTACGTTAAACAATAGAGATCGTAAAAATTAATAACTGCTTTTGTTATTTTTCAGTTATTGAGTTTAGTTTCTGACGAGTAACGAGATCATAAAACATTTTATTTCTCCTTTTATTTTTCTTTCTATGTCAACAATAAGCAAACTCACCTGTGAATGGTTCCAAATTTTTGGCTTTGGGCTGGATCGCGCATTGTTGGATGTGCTCGTACTTCCGGAATTACTCAGAAGACTGCCAGATGACGCGTTAGATTTGATTGATGGCTTTTGGCTCTTTTGGATTTGCGTTGAGCTCGTTGTCGTGGCCGAACCGTTCCGCTGTTGCTGCTGCTGTTGTTGTTGTTGCTGTTGTTGTTGTTGCTGTTGTTGCTGCTGTTGCTGCTGCGCGGACGTCTGTTGTTGTTGCTGTTGCTGTTGTTGTTGCTGTTGCGTTTGTTGCATGATTTGCTGAATGAGCTCGAGCTGTTGTTTCGTAAGCCCATCGTTACTGGCACCCGGAGACGACGCACTCTGCGAACAAAGACATGAAATATTTTGAAGAATTGCTATTAAGCTTATGCGTTTCATTCGAAAAGGGCGTTAGACGTCCAATCGCGTCCCCTTCCTAGTCGATGAATATCGTGCGTGCTACAGAAGGAAAACCAGAGATCCTGTTTCGTCTCTTTTCACATATATATAGCTATTTTTTCTTCATGTATTGTACAGATGTATGTACACTTACATACGTAGAGCAACACTAACACCGTTACTCGCTTTCGGTTTTAGAGTTAAGCGAATTGGCTGGGAAAGCAGCTCTCGCCTTTATCCGAGCGATTCCAAGCGTTATTGGCAATTTTTCGTTGAAACCGAAGGGTTGCTCGTAACGCATCCATCGAAAATCCTCTTTCGCAGCGAACGAGCGAATCGCTTTTGTTCTTCTTTTTTGTTTTTTCTCATCGTTAACCATCGACTTTTCTTTTTTGACTTGTTATTTTTTCCCTCTTTAATGGCTTCTTAAGCGCTTTGGAAGTAACATCGGATTATCTGCCTCGATAATCCATCGATACCGACGAGCTCGTAAAAAGGTAGCGTTTGTTGTTCAAAATAAAAAAAAAATAAAACAAATAATTAGCAGGAGTGATCTTGCGCTTTGATGGCATAGTGATCGGGCGTTACCTAGAATTCACGAGTACTCAGCGTAACAACACGGATTGGGTTACCGATTAAAATTGGATTTGTTAATTACTGCTGGGAGCGCGCGGTAGGCAGTTGCTACTATGCCTGATCCGGCTCATACCTTATTAAACCTTCATTTTGTAATTCCCACGTTGCCATTTGTCATCGTCGTAATCAGTGGCCACTCGTTTCCTGGACATGCCACTACTCGTACGTTTCCCCTCGGTCGTTATTTCCTATTCCCCTTCCTTCTCCCCAATTTCTCATTCTACCTCTTCTTTCCGCAGTTAAATTTTCAATCTTCGCTCAAAAGAATTGCAGTGATATTGTTTCTTTCTGTTTTTCTTCGATACAGATGAGAGTAGTAAAGATAAAAAGTTTAATGTTAAGGACTACGTCAACATGATTAACAAGAATCTAAGTGAGAATTAACGTTACGTATTTACTCTTTTAAATACCCATCGCTTCTAAAATTGAGACAACTTTTTATTGATTTTTTCGAAATATTATGCGCGAATTATATTTCTATGTAAGTTTATTATTTGGACTATTCATATTGATCCTTTCCAATCTATTTTCGATTATGCATTAGAGCGACGAGATCGTCGATGGAAATCACTGAATTTTATGCGTACGTTCTAACTACGTTTCTTTTTTAAAAGAACCAAAATTTCTCGCTATAGCTAATTCGCACAAAATTTAATTAATCAGCCCGATTCCAAACGCTAACGTAGAAGCGATGAAAATTCGTGGCGATTTTATTAACATATAACGATTAAACATAAATCAATCAATTTGAAACGTGAATGTTCGACGATAAACAGGTGTTCCTTCTCTGTCTCCAATTAAAAAAGCGTATTTTCACTTCGACCTTGTTTTGTAACAATTATCGCCGATTATGCATTATTAATGACGAATCCATAATGAAATGTGGGAGAAGGCATATTCATTTTCGCGACCGGGAAACGAACGATGGAAATAAATTTTTGCCGTTTCCCCGATATAATCGAGCAGGCAGAGGTTGCGCTGGTTATTGGCCCGTGATAAAATAAAAACAAGACTAATTAATCGTTTGCGCAGATCGATCAATGGATGTGAACTAATTTGACGTAGTCCTTTAAACACATATAGCTCGTGGAGTAATTTCGAATAACCTATCCGAGAATTTTAACGTATGATTCGTAAGCATTGAGAAAATTCTTCCGCCGACAAACTTTCACGGAAAGATCGTGCATTTGTCAAAGAGGCGATCGCGTGTCTTTTTCTCTTCGTCCTCCTTCTCCTTATCCTCTTACCTCTCACGAGACTCGACGTAACCGCCGATGTCTCGCGCTATCTTTCGCGGGGGAAGACGAGCGTCTCTGACAAATCGTCATTTCCAGGAACAAAGTAGAAATGCCGAGGAATGGTTCCGTGTCTTTCCTCTCGTTTTTCTCCATCCTCTTTCGTCTTTCGTTTACCATCTCCGCCGCATCGAGTCTAGCCAAGCATTCGCTTTCCTCACACATCTTTCCTCATACACGCGAGAATCGCATTATTTTTCACCTAAGAATCTCCTCTCGCCTCGTGTGCTCTCTCGTCTATCATCTCAGACTCCCCCTGTCCCCTCAAATACTCTGGCATTCGGCTCTCTTTTTTCTTTTTCACTCCTGCTCCATCTTCGACCCACTTTTCTTACTCGTCGCGCTTTTCATACGAACCGCGCACACTGGTGGTACTTATTCTGACGTAAGCACAGCCGACGAAAGCGTATGCTTTTCTCTCATACAAAAAATTCCTCCCTTTCGTTCTCTATCTTGTCTATTGGCCGTTACCTTGGTTTTCTTACGTTAGTTTCCTTCTTAGTTAATACCACCCTCGCTATTTATCTTTGGCTTTAATACATACGAGTGTCTTAACCCTTTCGAGCGTGTTAATTAAATTAGCTCTTTCTGTTAGTATATCTATATATTGTACATTCATAAGAACGAAAGAATTATACTTATAACGGGTATTAGGCAAAATTGTGAAAGAAAATCCGAATATTCACCTTCTCCTTTTTTCTTCCTCGTAACGGAATTTCTCTTGAGATAAGGGAAGATTTTTTAATTTATCATCGCGTATGAAATTAATCGAAATCACGGTTATCTACACGAATGCGAAGAAAAATTACGTTTTGCGAACGACTAAGTTACTTTTAAGTTAAGTCTATTCTCTCTCTCTCTCTCTCTCTCTCTCTCTCTTTCTCTCTCTCTCTCTCTCTTTCTTTCTCTCTCTCTTTCTTTCTCTCTCTCTCTTTCTCTCTCTCTCTTTCTCTCTCTTTCTATCTCTCTTTCATACTTTTAATTCGGTTAGACACGTTGCGGTTGAGGTTATTAAGGTCGACGTTGGCTTATTACGAAGAAGGCAGGTGTTAAGATCTCCCTGCGCAGCACATATTTTCTAGGCTGTCCGTCAATTTTCATTTGAAAGTTTTTCCTTCTCTTGCTATTTCCATCTTCCGCATGGCGCTATTGCCGTCGTCTCACGATTTTTTCTTTCTTTCTTGTTTTCTACTACGACAACAACTGAGACGATAGGAAGGTTTTTTCTTTCTCCAAAGCTAACACTCTTCACCTTAACTTTTTCTACTTTGAACTTGATATACGTTCAAATTTCTCTTGACGTTGCCATCTTCTTTTCATTGCGTTACGCGCAACTCCTTATCGTCTTGGTCACCCGTTATCTTATGCATCGCCATCGAAGTAATTCAGTCAGAAAAATGAAAACAACTAGAAGAAAAACTTTTGCGCCCGTTTATATTTCGTTTCCTTCATGAGTCAATATTTTTTATCGAACACGTTATTTGGTAAATAAAATTCTCTGCTTTGATCGAGAAAGAAGTCGAAAAAATCTGAAATGTTTACATTCCCGTATGTCATACTTTTTTTTTTCAATGTTTACAATGTCAACACGATTTTATTTTAGTTTTTTAAATATTACGTTTGTAGGTTATTTATTGTGATTGGTAGTGGTTGTAACAAAAATATATGATCTTGGTTTGGTCTGACAGATATATTTAAAAATAAAAATGAACTTAAAATATACTTCTTATATGTATATATATATATATCAGACTTTTTTCATTTTAGCTTTTTGATTCTTTAATTCTATATTCTTCAATTCTCTATCTCTGAATAATTTTCTCTTGTGTCTTTAAACGAAGATAATACCTTTATTCGTATTTTCTTATCTTATATTCGTCATTTATTTACATAATTTTACATTCATTTACTCATCGTTCTTCTAATATCCATTCTCAGAAGTTGTCATCTTTTGTTGATAAAAAAGAAAATACGTGCGTGATCGCTACGTAAGAAGTGAAACTTGTATAATCGATTTAATTGTCCATTTTGTTTTTAACCCATTTGCATCATGCGTCTACTTAATGTGCCGTATTCAAAAATCAGCAATGTTCAATTGATAATAGGCCCGTATCACCGCGCGTAGTCGTTCATAAATGAAGTACATGACAACAGAATTATACTTTTTAAAACAGTTGATACATCGCAAACAACGATAAGTAATCGTGGGCTCGTGGATATCTCCACGTTCGGTGATAAAAGACAGACGCAGCCCGCGGATATATCCGCGCTTGGATGCAAATGGGTTAATATAAAAGGAATATTTAAATATTTTCATAAAGATATTAGAAAGTATCAACCTCCTCTTGCCATTGTCACTCCCAGTCTGCCGAGAGGACACTTTGAATGATCAGACATCTTGAAAACTACGTTTGTCAATGTTTGGTCCTAGTTGTAGTGCGAACGTTCGTTTTTGTAGTGTAAACGTTTGATCGAAACGTATTTCAATAGTAAAAGCAATTAGTCGATCAATAATGCACATAAAGTCTAAATGATTTATATCAAGTTTCAAGTGTGATCTAACTCTATGAAATTTAAATATCCTTTTTGTTTCCCGCTTTTCTTCTCGGTAAGTATATATATGATACGATTCCTGACAATATTCTTTATTTTCAGCTTTAAATTTAAGATTCAGTAATATTTTTCGATAAGTTCTTCGATTTTGTTTACATTAAAATAATCTCCTTGACACGTTCGTCTATAAATTATTTGTAAAAACATTGGTTTTAGAACTATCAATTTAAAGTCGTCGTCGATTTCTTTGAAAATTAAATCCTTTGATTTCGTCTTATTATAAAAGATCTAAAACTTTATACAAATCACTGTCGCTACATTGTGCTCGTTTTATAACTATTTTCACATTCTTCAACAATCAAACAAAACAGCGAAGATTGACGATTCAACGCATTTACATGTATCATGTTCTTGGCTCAATAGTATATTCGAATTCTTTTAAGAGCAAAGTTCATTTGA